TTGATATGCATCTAAAGTCTATTATATGACTTATATGACTTAACAATCCCTGAAGGATTTAAATTGCTTAAAGCATATAGAATTCATGGTCATGAAGTACTACATCCTCAATGCAATTTGTGCACAAATGTATCTTGCTATAACTATATGCATGATAATATGATAGCAAGAGTTTTCACCTCTATGTGAAGATATTGAACTGACAATTCCAACAAGATCATATGAAGACAATACATCTATCAGGGATGATGATTTCAAGGTGAAACAAATTCGTTGAAGTTAATATGGCTGATATTGTTCATCAAATCTCTACCAAAGATCTTTTGAAGATGGTGCACAAGATTGGAATGCAAATGCTTAAGGATGTGAATTGATGCTATCTTCAGGGGGAGTTAATGCGCGTTGCACTCTTTTTCCCTTACAAGGTTTTGTCCCACTGGATTTTCCTTGCAAGGTTTTTAACGAGGCAACCAATAGGCGCATTTCTAAACATGTGTACTCTTTTTCCTTTTCTAGAATTTTTTTCCCATTGGGTTTTCTTTTAGTTAAGGTTTTAAACGAGGTCACATTATCTGTTGAATTAGACATTCAAGNTTCATAAAAGGAAATAGGACAAAGCACATTTCACCAAAGTATTTTTCACACATGATCTTCAAAAGAATGGTGATATTAATGTGCAACAGATTCGTTCAAGTGATAATATGGCTGATTTGTTCACAAAATCCTCTACCAACGTCAACCTTCGAAGAAGCTAGTTTACAAGATCGGGATGCGAAGGCTCAAGGATGTGAATTGATGCTCTCATCAGGGGGAGTTAATGCGCGTTGCACTCTTTTTCCCTTACAAGGTTTTGTCCCACTGGATTTTCCTTGCAAGGTTTTTAACGAGGCAACCAATAGGCGCATTTCTAAACATGTGTACTCGTTTTTCCTTTTCTAGAAGTTTTTTTCCCATTGGGGTTTTCTTTTAGTTAAGGTTTAAACGAGGCACATTATCTGTTGAATAGACATTCAGGGGGAGTGTTATAAATAGAATTTTATTTATGGTGAATGTCTATTATTTAGAGAGATTATAGGGTTTATTACTTGGTGGCTAAGTCACCCTCTCCCTATAAATAGAGGGTTCTATTCCATTGTAAATCATCCCAAAATCAATAAGAATTCCCTCTCTCTCTTTCTCTGCAATATTGCTCTTGTTCTTT